CATTTAATAACTGAACGTATCTGTAAATGAGTTCATAGATATATAAAGGGTGTCATAAATTATGCGACAAGACCAATATACTATAAATCTACACTGTCGGTTTTAATGGATATTAACTTAAGTACTGTGTAAAAGTAAAGATTACGACAATTTTCCTCATTGTATTTTATTTTATACGAAACCAATTCTGACATAAGCGAAGCTATTGAGAATTGACACAGAGGCGGGATCAATAGATATAGATAACTATTATGGCGACGCGAAGCCAATAATTATACTCGTGGGCCCGAGTTTAGGACCGGACACAGTTTAGTTCTTGCAGTTTTTGATCGTTCTGCGCCTGGCTTCGCCTAGTTCTACTGTTCGCCACGAGAAGTCATGGTAAATTCCCAATACCGGTTCTTATAGCCGTGTCGATATGATTTCACCGAATTTTGTTTGTATTCACGAGAATTATCGAAGAAGTAATCGAATTCTCGTTACTAGAATTAATATTATTCACAAGGCCGAGCAATGCTCTTAAACCTTGGAAAGCCTCTATCTTTAAACAAACACATTGCTATTAACATTATTATTAACACGTTCCGTGCCAAGCCATTTTTGCCTGACTTGTCGTTCAGGCCATTTGATATTTTTACTAAAGATCGATATATTATCATTAAATGTAATTATTAATTATTGTATACATAACAATTAAATAAACTTATGTGTTTTGTTCTTTACTGCATCTTGTATAATGCTTCATTTTTTAGGTAGAAATATAGTTTACAGAATTATATTTGTATTAAAATATATGTTTTCAGCGCATTAAATAAATATGACTGCGTGTACCACCGGTGGTACACGTGGCCTGACGATCAAGTTTACCGTGTACCACCGGTGGTACACGTGGCACGGAACGTGTTAACGAATAAAACCCACCATACAATACTGTCACACTTATATCTTGACAGTTATAAACTACACATAAACAATGATACTTAAACTTTTATCTTCAATGCCATCGTCAAGTGAAACAGCTATCGAGCAATAGGTATAATTATACAAACATATCGTGCTCACATTAGTATGTATCTTCTACTAATCAGCAAACGAAGTCATCCGAATATAAATGAAGTACAGTACCACTCTACTCCAGTCGAACTGCTCACGTAGCATAGGCAATTAGTCCTTTAAATCGAAAATGATATGTACAGTCTTTATACTTTTAACGGCTACGTTAGCGTGGTACTTGTACTGGAAATGCACGTATTGGAAAAGGAATAATATTCCAACGGCCAAAGGATGTTACCCGCTCTTTGGTCACATGCTAGCCGTGATAGCTATGCAAAAAGCTCCGGGCGTACTAATTGAAGAAATATACAATGAGTACAAGGATTGCAGCATGGTTGGATTTTACAAAGGATTAGTGCCATCATTAGTTATCCGCGAACCGAACTTGGTGAAGTCCGTGTTACTAACTAATTTGTCGAGTTTTCCTATAAACGGTTTCCGGGTTCAAAAAGACGTGGATCCCCTGTTCGCATATCATCCATTTTTCACCCATGGGGAAAAATGGTTAAATGGAAGGAAACGATTGACCTATGCGTTTACCAGTGGCAAGTTGAAAATTCTTTTCGTGGCAGTTAACGGAGTGTGCAAGAAATTCCAAGATTACTTAGACAGGCGGGTGAACTCCAACGATAAGTACGAAGTTGAACTGAAGTATCTGTTCTCAAAATTTACTGGCGAAATTGCGGCAAACGCTAGTATGGGCATCGACGGGCGCTGTTTCGGGGACGTGGATGATCCGTTGGCGTTCGATCAGATCGGCAAGAATTTCTTCGAACCGAATTTCTTCAGTAGATTTCTACTTAACATTGTAACTCTATTTCCCAGTGTGAATCGTTTCACAAAGATCAAGTTCACGAAGAAGGAACTGGAACAAATGTTCACAACGCTGGTTAAGGAAAATTTGGAGCACAGGCGAAAGGAATCAACGCCCAGGTACGACTTTCTCGAAATAATGGTGCAGCTGGAGAAAGAGGAAGGAAAGCAACTGCCTTTGGACGTTCTCACTGCTGGTGTATTCACGTTTTACATCGACGGATTCCAAACATCAAGCATTACTCTCAGTTTCATTGGATTTCAACTGGCTATGCATCAGGATGTTCAAGAAAGACTACGAGAAGAAGTGAAGACTGTCCTGGAAAAACACGGAGGTGTGTTAACGTACGAAGCGGTGAAAGAGATGACTTATATGGATCAAGTAATTTGTGAATCGCAAAGATATTACTCGACACTGAGTATGATGATCAAAATATGTACAGAAGAGTGCGAGTTGGAAGGATCGGACGGGCTTAAATGTCGCGTGAAACCTGGCACCGAAATTATCATACCCACTTATGGACTGCAGAAGGACCCGAGGTATTGGTCCGATCCGGAGACCTTTGATCCAGATCGATTCAGCGAGGAAAGGAAGCACGAGATTGACAAAATGACGTTCATGCCATTCGGCGAGGGACCAAGGATGTGCGTGGGAATGAGATTGGCACTGCTGCAAATTAAGTGTTGTTTGGCTATCTTGCTCAAAGGCTATAAATTGGAATTGTCGGCTAAAACGAAACTGCCTTTGAAACTGTTGCACTTCGTTTTTCTCACAGAAGCAGAAGGTGGACTTTGGGTGCATCTGTCAAAACTTTGAAAACAGTCGAATATGTTAATATTGTAGGAATTATGGATGTTAATATGTCGCGGGTACGAAGTCTTACTTAATCATTTCGAATTGGAAACGTAGATAACATTGCTATCTCCCTAGTAAATAACGGTTACGATAGAACAATAACAAAGTGAGTGATAACGTACGTAACAACTGGAGTTTTCAATGTCATGTTTATCACAGGATTGGCGAATGTGAAAATTTTCCTGCCCTTCGGGGTTGGCCTTGCAACACTCGAAAGGACGAGTAGCTGACGAGAAATTGAAACACGAAATTTACGAACTGCTTTTAGACGAAGCTACTTTGTTCTTTTTGTTTTTATTATTTGTTATTACTTTTGATCTACGTAAAGGCGACCTTTTTATTGTACTCTGATGCCACTTGTGTGTTTACATGCGATAGGTCTATTTTGAAAGCTCGGAGAACTGGAGGTCGATACCAAAAATTTATTTCTAGCTAGCTTTTAAGAAGAGGCGAGTATAGAAGGCAGCGTGTATAGTGAATTAAGTGGAAGTTGGAAGAGTAAGAATGATTACGTTACAGATGGATGTAATAGATGTTGTGTCGGAGGATGCCATAGAATAATTTGATTAAGATTTAACACGTTCCCGCCGGCGGCATTATTTGTAGTTCGCGCCATGTGACGGCTCTCTAATTCAGTGTTTGCCCCATCGGGCGGCGCTGTTGTGAACTTAAATGTAATAAATGGAATAAACTTGTTGACTAAGTAATCAATTTTTTAATACGAATGAATAATACTAATTAATATACATTTTTATGTTAAAGTCGTTTAAAATTAAAGAATCATTTTGATTCAGTTCATTTGCAAACTTCTTTTTCTTTTTTTAACAAAAAGGACACATAAAATTGATTTTTTTCCTTTGTACCACTGCTGGTACATGCCGCCCGATGGGACAATTGTGTATGTACCACCAGTGGTACATGCCGTCCCATGGGACAGTCGTCTATGTACCACCAGTGGTACATGCCGTCGGGAACGTGTTAAGGGCGTTGGTAAGGGGGGGTAGTGTAAAGATTAATTGTTATAATAGATGTAAAAGATGCTGTAGGAATAGAAGCCCACCCACAGCCGAAAGGCAAGGGTAAAAAATGTAACCTAGAAATTTGTTTGAATCGATGAAGCGTAATTTCACACATTTTCTTCCATCCTGTGAATTTGCCTTGTCTGCTACTGTTTCATTGAAAGAATTATACTTTTCTTTTGTTATCTTTTAAAACATCGATACTCCTTTCGAATGCGTCAGTCAGTTCTTTGACGGTAAAATGAGGATCGTATCCAGACAGGTTATGGAAAACTATTGATTGATGAAAAGTGAATTTTGATATTGTAGATTACAATTTGCGTAGACTGGACCTCTAAATCGTCCGGTGAGATGGCAATGATCGCTCTGTCGTCACCCGACGCAAATGATTTCTCACATACGTGATTCAGCGAATTTTGAAGGTCGCACATATGCGCGTCACTCCTCTTCACATACCCGCGCATCACTATATACTCGTCGGTCCCACCAAGGATCTCGTTTGCTTCCGTACACGGCTCGCTTCCCCTGTTTTTCGCCCGTTTTTCGATCCCCACTACTATTCTCCTCACGCGCCTTCGCGAAGCTCTCCGCACCGCCACCTGCATAACATTTCGTCCTAGTGATTTCTGAATTTGAATCGGACGAAATGAATTATTATGAAGAGCGAAAGTAAATGTAATGAATATAATTTATATGCATGTATATATTTGAAAAGCATAAATGTATGAGAAATAATGTATGCTTTTCGTGTTTGTAAATTTCAAATTGAATCTATTCGGGAGAGGTAAATAATAAAAGAAATGTAATTTTATTTGTTTAAAAATATATTTATTCGTCATCAGTGT